GTCATTGTGGTCCTCGTCACCGCCGTTGTCTGAGTTCTCGTTCTCTGAGTTCTCGGGGGTGGCGCCTTTCTCCTCGCCGGTGGCTGGCTTGTCCTCTTCGGGAATCGGCCCCTGTTGGGAGTGATCTCCCCGAAAGGGACGCTGCACAGACACACGTTGAGAAGGGGCGCCCCTTCCCGGTGGGGTAGAGATGGACGGTGACGGGGAAACAGTGCCGGCGAGCCGCTTCTGCAGCTCCTCCAGCTCCGCATCCTTCTCCGCTACGAGTGCCGTATCTCTTCGTCGACTCCAGTGTAGACCCTGGCTACTGTCGGAGACAGAGGCCGGTGCCTTGGCAGTATTATCCCACTGCCAGGGGAAGGCTATTTCCTCTCGTGATATGTAAACGAGGAGAAGAGGGTAGAAAGAGAGGGTGGCCAGAGCGAGCAGAGGGAGAGGAGCGTCGGAGACTCTCCGCTTCCACTTTCGGCAGGTGGCCAGGGACTTCGGAAGAGATAAATCTCCGACGGCGCATTTCCTGTCACTCTCCCTTTGACAAGATACCCCGAGGGAGCCATATCTCCCTACACTTTGTATGTGCACCCATGGTTGGTTATACTCCCGACAGGTGTCCTCCACATATGTGTCCTTTTTTTTTTTTAATCGACCGCGTTATAACCGGCTGATCAATGAAAAGAACTCCAGTGCCAGCGGGAAAAACGTCAAGGTCCCTGGAAGGGGGCCAAACTTCGAAGAAAACGCGCACAACGCGCTGAGCGGGATTGCCAAGATCAATCTCTCTACAAACCCCTTCTGAGAGAACGCTTTACATATGCATTTACCCGAACCTAGGAAGCCAATGATGCAAAGATTGGAGGATGCCAAGAAGGGTGTGTTCGCATGTGGTTGTTTTTGTCTCGCAATTGGAATCGATCGACCGCGTTATTATCCGGCTGGCCGATAGCTAGACGTATAGCATCTAGGGCCCGACCTGGACTGGTCGCATTCCGGTTTTGCTTGCCTCCCAATGGGTCTCCATCACTGCTGCTGCTGCTGCTGCTGCTGTGTGTCTGGTGCCGTAATATCCAGTTCCCGAATCCTTCCCTGCACGCCCGAGCACGGGCTGTGCTGCTGAGGCATCGTTTCGTAGAGCTGGTGGAAGACAGGTGCAGTACACAGTGACTTGAGGTATTACGAGAGCTACCTCGCTTGGGAGAAACCGGACTTTAAGAGAGGAAAGCTGGCTTGTTCCGACTCTCTCATAAACCGTGGCCACCATTGCTATGGGTGACACTGAAACTGCTGCTGGGTGTTCGTGGTTTTTCGAAGTCGTTGCCTCCTGTATACGCATCAACACGTGGTTCATCCCATCTGTGTGTCCTGTGCTTGTTGTCGTCATCGCTGGCTGCAGGGCATTTCACCGATGTCTATTGCTGTCCGTGTTGCGATATACACAGAATTGGTCGTTAGGTGGGGTGTAGTGTCGCGGTTGTTTTATTACGGGTGTCGATGTCGGGGCGCCCCTCGTATCGAAAAAATCCAGCTGTTACCCAAGTGGTGACTCTTGTTCCACGAAAACACACAGGCACGTGGACGAAGCCCTGACCTGCCTGAGAGAAGACATGACGCCTCTCTTCACTGCGTCCCAATGTCAAGAGGCAGCCGGTCCCACCAGTGGCGACGACGGTGATCCTGACTTTCCCCGCCCAGAGCAGGTGAGAGGAAACCCCGGGGGGGTCATTAAGTGATGCTACGGAGCCCCCCCCCTTTACCGGAACCAGAGGGTACCCAACTACACTTCTATGCTCTAGCGGGTGGAGCCCTTGACAACCGATTTCGATCCTCATATGTCGGAGCCCCCTCTTTTAAGGTACAGTCGTGGCAGCGATGTACAAAAGGCTCTCGACCCTCTTACATTGGAGCTCCTCTTATCCACCGGGATAAGGTACTGTACCCAGGTATACGATGGCGGGTCGAGTCCGCGACAACCGGTTCCGACCCTCTTACCATATATCGGAGCCACGACTGTATCTACTGGAATTCCGGAGGGTCGCAGGGTCTTGGTGACAACCGGCCTCCGGGTTGTTTACAACAACAACAGCGATGACAACAACAACAACAACAACAACAACAACAACAACGCTGTTGTTTACATGCTTGAGCTGAACCTGATGTCTTATGCCTATTGGCGCCTATTGCAGGTTCCCTACGCCTGAGCAGTCCGTGGTTGGTGTTTTGGAGTTGTCCCCGTTTACTACTAGAGTGCCGTTTGCTGTGCTTTGACGCTCGCTTCTTCTGCTGACTTGGTCAAGAACAACGAAAGCAAGATCAGGAAGGAACCCCCCCCCCCCCCCGGGCCCCCGCTCTCCGCTAAACCCTCGCCGAAGCCTTGGAAGCCATATACGTAGAACCGGCCTTCTTTCTCCTCGAAAAGTCCCGCGGTCAATGTCCTCACCCCCAAAGAAACAACGAGAACCTGACACCCCCCCCCCACCCCCCCCA